TTATTTATCATTACACTCATACTCAGTCTACACCTCAAATTTGCACATAATATACCTGTACATACAAAACTGTCTATTGTAATATACCTGCACAATTGTCAATTTATATATTTGTATTCCTTATTTACTTGTTCTATTTTTATTTTTATTTTTTATTATCTGTGTTTTTTGTTCTGTCACTGTCATTCTGTTACACTGTGGAAGCTTCTGTCACGAAAACAAATTCCTCGTATGTGTAAACATACCTGGCAATAAAGCTCATTCTGATTCTGATTCTGATGCACTGGCCTGTCTAGACAGATATTTTCTTGACAAGAAGTTAAAGTGGATCATAAAGTGTCAGTTGCTGTATTTACATCCAGAGATGATGAAATGGGTGGGTGAGGGAAGAGAGGATGACACTACAGAGGAAAGATGGAAGGGTGAAAGGGAGCATAGGTTTTTCTATGCGTTGCCATCTGCTTGTGATGTTAGAGCATTGTTGAGAGAGAACAAGAATGTATGGGAAACATACTACCGCCTACCTGACTCTTCCTGAGAGGTAAGGAAAAATACACTTACTTGAGATGATATTTTTTTGATATCTCTGAAATATTTGATTGTATTCTTCAAGACAATCTTTTATTGTACTATTGAATAAAATATTAGTTAAGCTGGTGGTTTGTGGTGGGCGTTCTGATGCAATATGGCTGCTGTAGCATCATCCAGGTGGATGCTGCACATTGATGGTGGTTGAGGAGATTCCCCCTTCCATGCAAAGCGCTTTGAGTATGAGTAAAGCGCTATATAAATGTAACAATTAATAATTAAAACAATCTTTTATTGTACTATTGAATAAAATATTAATTATCAAAGAAAGAAATATTAATAGCCATAATATGGTCTTTTGTAAATGTGGTGATACTGTGATGCTCAGGTACTGTGATTTCCTTCTCACATTGCTTCACCTGAACAGTTTCTGTTGCTGTATATGGTATCATTGTAATCCTTGACCATCAAAACATAGGGGTAGACATCACCTTTTCTGTGTTATCATGTTTGGTTCAGGAGATATGAAAATACATAATTTGGTTATGGCGGAAAGTAAAATGGTTGCCATGGCAACCATGAAGTGTTTTTGCCATGGCTCCATTTCTGAAAAAGTTCAGGGCCCTAACCTGTACAATTGTACCAGGTTTTATGCTTTTATGAAAAAGTGAACATATCACTTCAAATTTTGCACATATCACCTACTTAGTATGTGAAAGTGTTAAAATCATATAAAACCATATTGATAAACCACCTCAAAGTACCTAATTATTAGTAAGCATGTTATGTATGTGTACAGCATTACATCCTACACAGAGTGGGGGTACAGAACAGGACACAGAACCGTGAGGGGTTTGTGATGAAAGAGGTCACCAACCCCGCTGAGGCCACACTGCACCAGACCACATATCAAACAGCGCACTGCACCACTTCCAACAGATATCAAACAAATGAAGCAAGCGGACAGCCAGTCCCCTGGCACAGGCATAATATTATCACAGGTAATTTAGTTTGTGTTGCAGTATGCAAGTGACTCATAAATGAACATGCAAAGAGCAATTTTGCTATTTTGGGCTACAGGAGAGGAGAAGGCTGCAGCTGGGCCTTGGCAGGCCAGAAGACAGTCTGGGGAGAGCATTCTGTGTGCAGCTCGGTATTGCGAGATGCACAGTGACTCTTTTCATTTGTACTGAAGATGACACCAATAAACAGCTAATAAAATGTACTCAAAATGACACTTAATTGTGCTGATTAGAAGTCATCACTGCATATAGATCTTAAAAATTGTGTTCCGTGGAGAAAAAATGGTTTAAAATTTGAGGGTGCAGAATTATTTGTGACCCTGGACCACAAAACCAGTCTGTATATTTTTAGCAATAGCCAAAAAAACATTGTATGGGTCAAAATTATCGATTTTTCTTTTATGCCAAAAATCATTAGGATTTTAAGTATAGATCATGTCCCATGAAGATATTTTGTAAATTTCCTACCATAAATATATCAAAACGTAATTTTTGATTAGCAATATGCATTGCTAAGAACTTCATTTGGACAACTTTAAAGGCGATTTGCTCAATATTTTGATTTTTTTTGCACCCTCAGATTCCAGATATTCAAATAGTTGTATCTCGGCCAAATATTGTCCTATCCCAACAAACCGTACATCAATGGAAAGCTTATTTATTCTGCTTTCAGATGTATAAATCTCAATAAATAAAAAAATGACCCGTATGACTGGTTTTGTGGTCCAGGTTCACATTTGGTATAATTTGTGTGTGTGTGTTTCAGCTTTATCACCAAAAATTATTTTTAATAGATTTAGTTGAAAATAAAGATTTTGTAAACTAAATTAGTTTTGAAGAATCAGTTTATTGTTGTGGTGAACACAAACACAAAATAACAGTTAAAAGAATAAGGGGAGAAGACAAGCTTAAGACAAGCCAGTACAAACAAAGAAATTCAAGAAAGAGAGAAAATGAACATGTATATACAGCCCAGCAACAGGTGTTGGATTGGGAAGTGGCTAGAGCTAGAGGACAGTAATGAAGTCCACACAGCACTAGTACAGCAGTACGGGTCCAAGCCCCCCTACACAAACACTCCAGTTCTGTTTTTCCAGTGCAAATTTCAGAACAGTGCAGAAATGCATATTTCCAAGTCATCTGAGGATGAAACATTTCAAGACTTATGATGATGTCTTCTGTGCATCTAATTGGTTAAAGTAAATGTTCCATAGTTGTTTCACCGAATTAAAAATGAATCAAGCGCTCTTTATATTTTGCACAGACTTAACACATTTGCTATGACATGCAAATATACATGGATGCAAGACAGCTAAAATGAACGCAACATTTCAGTGTTGGAAAAAAAAAAATACTTCTGATGGAAAACAAATGTATAATTTGAAATGAAACCTAAAAACTAAAAAATACATATGAACCTCAAGAGATATCTGCATACATTTAAGCTGTTTACAAGATGTTACTTTTCACTATCGGCTCAGGCTTTACATTGGTCTGTTGAGATCTGACATAAGCAGGGGGAGATGACCATTTTTAACCCTGAAATGATCAGAATTCCACTTTTTACTTGAGCCTAATCTTTTACTCATTCTTCTTCTCCTTCTGTTTGAGAAGTTTGTTGATCTCCCTCTTCACCATGCCAGCATATTTGGTGATGATGCCATGCTGGCTGAGGCCAGGCAAAAGCAGAAGGAAACTCACTGTGGATACAGAAAATGACAGTAAACGAGTGGACAATCACTAATACAACAGCCCTGTGAAGGTATAACCCCCGCCACAGACACTGAATAATGACACCATTCATTTTTTACAATTCTAAATTACCATCCCCCATGAGGTGACTCATTCCATGCATCATCAAATTATTCTTATTAGGCTACTGAGATGATTGGAGTCTTCATATTTTTCAATTTTTTTATGCCAAAAATCATTAGGATATTAAGTAAAGATCATGTTCCATGAAGATATTTTGCACATTTCTTACCATAAATATATAAAAACTTTATTTTTGATTAGCAATATGCATTGCTAAGAACTTCATTTGGACAACTTTAAAGGCGATTTGCTCAATATTTTGATTTTTTTTGCACCCTCAGATTCCAGATATTCAAATAGTTGTATCTCGGCCAAATATTGTCCTATCCCAACAAACCGTACATCAATGGAAAGCTTATTTATTCTGCTTTCAGATGTATAAATCTCAATAAATAAAAAAATGACCCGTATGACTGGTTTTGTGGTCCAGGTTCACATTTGGTATAATTTGTGTGTGTGTGTTTCAGCTTTATCACCAAAAATTATTTTTAATAGATTTAGTTGAAAATAAAGATTTTGTAAACTAAATTAGTTTTGAAGAATCAGTTTATTGTTGTGGTGAACACAAACACAAAATAACAGTTAAAAGAATAAGGGGAGAAGACAAGCTTAAGACAAGCCAGTACAAACAAAGAAATTCAAGAAAGAGAGAAAATGAACATGTATATACAGCCCAGCAACAGGTGTTGGATTGGGAAGTGGCTAGAGCTAGAGGACAGTAATGAAGTCCACACAGCACTAGTACAGCAGTACGGGTCCAAGCCCCCCTACACAAACACTCCAGTTCTGTTTTTCCAGTGCAAATTTCAGAACAGTGCAGAAATGCATATTTCCAAGTCATCTGAGGATGAAACATTTCAAGACTTATGATGATGTCTTCTGTGCATCTAATTGGTTAAAGTAAATGTTCCATAGTTGTTTCACCGAATTAAAAATGAATCAAGCGCTCTTTATATTTTGCACAGACTTAACACATTTGCTATGACATGCAAATATACATGGATGCAAGACAGCTAAAATGAACGCAACATTTCAGTGTTGGAAAAAAAAAAATACTTCTGATGGAAAACAAATGTATAATTTGAAATGAAACCTAAAAACTAAAAAATACATATGAACCTCAAGAGATATCTGCATACATTTAAGCTGTTTACAAGATGTTACTTTTCACTATCGGCTCAGGCTTTACATTGGTCTGTTGAGATCTGACATAAGCAGGGGGAGATGACCATTTTTAACCCTGAAATGATCAGAATTCCACTTTTTACTTGAGCCTAATCTTTTACTCATTCTTCTTCTCCTTCTGTTTGAGAAGTTTGTTGATCTCCCTCTTCACCATGCCAGCATATTTGGTGATGATGCCATGCTGGCTGAGGCCAGGCAAAAGCAGAAGGAAACTCACTGTGGATACAGAAAATGACAGTAAACGAGTGGACAATCACTAATACAACAGCCCTGTGAAGGTATAACCCCCGCCACAGACACTGAATAATGACACCATTCATTTTTTACAATTCTAAATTACCATCCCCCATGAGGTGACTCATTCCATGCATCATCAAATTATTCTTATTAGGCTACTGAGATGATTGGAGTCTTCATATTTTTCAAAAGTATTAAGGATTTCATAATGGATGACATTTATATTGAATGAAAAATGACTTGGTGCATCAGAACATTTCACCTAATTGGTACAAAGAGATTTAAAAAACCTTGTGTGTAGGGAGGGTAAGTGGCAGCATATTTCTGGATTGAAACTGGCTTTCCTTGACCCAAATACAATGACCTCTTTGTTGCACAGCCTAGTCACTGTTTGCATGAGCTAAGCTTTGATAAAGAACAGTGACTTCTCTACAGTTTGCACACTGTGGCGTGTCATAGATTCATAGATCTTACAGCCTTTTTTCCTGCTAGTTTGTGATTTTAAAAATCGGAATGCATTTGTGATGTAAGAGGCAGGACATGAGCAGTTTATTGCTCTAATGTTATACAACAGCCTTTCAGCACAGGGGATTTCTTCATGCAGTTTGCTTAGCTTTTAGCCCATATAAATAGTGTATATACCGATCAGGTAGGTGAGGAAGAGGTTATGCACTTCTTGTCCGATCCAGGCCACAGCCACAAGACTGCTGATGACGGAGAGGAAATACTGTAGAGAAGTAAAACAAATGTGTTACAAGGAGTACACAGAGGAGGAGCCTATTTTCTACAGAAGTTACAACAATATACAAAAATGCTTTCATTTCCACAAACTATTTGGTGTGAACAACATCCGATCAATAAATGTACATTGATCACTGTCTTGGCAAGTCACTCTTAATGAACGAGTCATTCAGTCATTCATTAAGAAAGCAAGCGAGTGTCCTTAAGAATGGGTCATTAAACCACTGGCTCACTTGATTTGTTTAAAAATGTGAATTCATTAAGGGCAAGAAACAACAGTTCTGCTGTAGCTTTGTTCAGAACTACTTTTATTTGCGAAATTGAGCAAGACAGACAAATATTTGAGTCCAAAATGTAAAAATATGATCTTCTTGTTCATTGAACTGTTGTACAAAAGCATCACACTTGCAGCCAAGCAGATATTCTGGAAAAAACAGCACTCTTGCTCGAGTGATATGGCTAAACTAGCCTACATTATATGATATTAATATAAGACAAAAAAAAAACATGGGGCATTTTTTGCTCTCAAATCTTGAATTCCAGGGACATCTAACTGCATTCTAATAGGCTACATCATGCAACTTTTTCAGGATTTTGAACATCACTTTAAAATGTTCTCTTAGGGGCACAAGTGCTCCTTAATTATGCATAAGTAGAGCTGTGAACTAGGGCTAGGCTCATGTTTGTTTGTTCTTACTGCTGAGCAACAGTAATAAAGCCAGCCTAGTGGTGTGAAATGATAGCTTGCTTTGAGTGTGAAATGCTTATGAGTCACTAGTGAATTCTAAGACATAAAACAAAAAAGGTGCTGTTCAACAAGTCATCAAATGAGCGTACCATTTTGGGCTTTTCTTCCTTCAGGGCAAACAGACGTTTCCACCAGCCGAGCACACGGCGCTGAGTCTTCACAAGGTTCCCACAGATCTCATGGAAACGCTGCTGCTGTTCTGTGGTCCTGTGCAGGAACAAAATAGTGCTCAGAAAACATACACGATAAACAATGTCTTTATGGGTAACACCAACACATCATAAATGTTCGCTCATAAATGAACAGGGAATCGGTTTCCATTTCTGCTTAGCCACTGCATTTTATTTCTGGGCATAAAACATGACCATATTGAAGGCTTAAAGCTTAGAGCCACAGGAAGCTGCCAGATACTAAAATAAACGCCTGGGGTCTGATCTTGACTTGCTCTGC